CCTGCTCGGGGTGAACTCTCTAAGCCCCTGGATTGCAGCTTAACGTCCTCCCTGCGTGTTTCTGTACACAGCTCCTCCTGAAAGCTCTCCTCTCACCCCTGGACTCCCGCTGCCCCCCTCTCATCTGCCTGCTTCTCCCACCGTTCTCTAGAAGTGCCTCCGGTTCCACACCAACTGCTCGGTACACCCCCTCCGCAGGCTGCCTCCTCTGGGCTCCTGGTAGGGCCTAGGTCAGTGATGGTGAACCTTTTGAGCTCGGCGTGTCAGAATTTTGAAAAACCCTAACTTAACTCTGGTGCCGTGTCACATATAGAAATTTTTTGATATTTGCAACCATAGTAAAACAAAGATTTATATTTTTGATATTTATTTTATATACTTAAATGCCATTTAATAAAGAAAAATCAACCAAAAAAATGAGTTCGCGTGTCACCTCTACACGTGTGTCATAGGTTCGCCATCACTGGCCTAGGTGAAGGAGCCACACTGAATTCTTTGGAAACTTTAAAAAAATACTTTAAAAAATGCTGTTATTGATTTTTAGAAAGAGAGAAAGGGAGAGGGATAGGATAGAAACATTGATGAGAGAGGAACATCATCCATCGGCTGCCTCCTGCATGCCCCCTACTGGGGATCGAGCCCACAACCTGGGCATGTGCCCTGACCAGGAATCGAACCAGTGACCTCCTGGTTCATGGATCGATGCTCAACCACTGAGTCACACTGATCAGGCTAAAAAAACAACAAACTTAACCCCGTTCATCTACAACTGGACTCCCACGGTGAAGATGATGAGGGCACCTCTAACTCCACGCTCACTTGGTGCGTGGGAAGCATTTTGTCACAGAGGGAGGAGTTTCAGGAAGAGGTGTCAGTTGAGGGAGAACCTAAGATGATGAATTCTTAGCCACAGACAGGAAAGCACACATCCAAGGTGACCTCCAAGAAAGACCTGAAGGTCTTATCAACAGTTGTGTGACACTATGTATCTGTCAAAAGTATACATCATGCTGGCTGGAGAGGCTCAGCCAGTGGTTTAGCGTCAACCTATGAACCAGGAGATCACGATTTGATTCTCAGTTGGGGCATATGCCTGGGTTGCGGGCTCAATCCCCAGTGTGGGGTGTGCAGGAGGCAGCCGATCAATGATTTCTCTCATCATTGATGTTTCTATCTCTCCCTGTCCCTCTCCCTTCCTCTCTGAAATCAATAAAAATATATATATTTTAAAAAGTATACATCATAACCTTTGATCTAACAATTCCACTTTTAGAATTTAATTTTTAGAAACATAACATTTTAATAGATGAAATAAACACTCCAGTACCTGCAGGGTAAAAACTTGACGGGGGTTGGGGGTGGGGAATCACTCCATAGCAGCGGTTCTCAACCTGTGGGTTGCCACCCCTTTGGCGGTCGAATGACCCTTTCACAGGGGTCGCCTAAGACCATACTGCATATCAGATATTTACATTACGATTCATAACAGTAGCAACGAAAATAATTTTATGGTTGGGTCACAACATGAGGAACTGTATTTAAAGGGCCAGAAGGTTGAGGACCACTGCTCTATAGTGTAAATTAGAAAATGAAACACACACTCCCAGTAGCCTTTCCCCTCATTTGCAAATCACATGGCAAGGTCAGACTCTCCACATCAATACTTCTAGGAATTTATTCTAGAAAAAAGTAGGCACTTAATGTACTCAGAGTACGTAAAAGGTTGTCCATCAGAGAATTGTCCATAATTGCAAAATATTGAAAACATCCTGTCAACAGGAGAGCTGCTGGGTATACCACGGCGCATGCACACCGTGAACACCATGGAGTCATTACAGAAATGATGTAGAGATGAGTACGTATTGCCAGGTCCCGGGTTGCTCCCTGCCACCTGCCTTCAGAGGCAGTTGTACGAGGACGTGATGCTTGGAGTTGCCATGGCAGCAGTCAGCTCGTAATTAGGAAAGGCCAGGGGAATCAGAAATGCCAACCCAGGCGCCTGCCTTCTTTTCTGTGAAATGAGACATCTGTGTCACATAAGCTGTCACTTGTTGGGCCACGTGCCCTTGCAGTTGAAGTTATTCTTAACTGACACAGGAAATATGGAGTACAAGGTCCTTGGTGGCCTAGGAGCTCTGCGGATCTATGACACTACATATTGGAGCCGCAGTGCAGGCATTAAAGGGCTGGTGTGGGCGTGAGGAAGTACAGGCAGGGGATGGACCAGAGAGGCTTGTGAGTGGTAAAGAATAGGATGACATGGAATCGGCAGGGGTACATGAAGATTTCTTCTATGCCACTGCTGCTATCTCAGCTCTGACATTAGACTGAGGAAGGACATAAATCCTTTATTGAAATTTCGATGTTCAAGCATATAGTAGATGTTTATCAAACGGTCATCACTATTAGTATTCCATGAAGTCAGTCTTGCAGACTTGCCCCAGCTGTTTGTCCCCTGGAAGTGGTAGAGTGTGATCAATGGAAAGAACTGGCCTTGGAGTCAGGCTGAATTCCCGAGTCTCAGGTTCCTACCTGTAAATGGAGACACGAATACCTACCTCACAGGATCGGCATGAGCAACGAGAAGATGCATGAAAGGTGCTGGTGTGCAGGAGGCACTGGAATAACTGGAGAGCTCTGTGGTGGGCCTGGCAGGTTGCCTTCCAAACATCACTTCTTCCTCCTTCCTAACAGAACTCCACTGTGGTCCAGGCACCTCCTCCTCCCAGACGAGGAAACCCAGGCTCAGAGAGCTCAACGGGCACTTCCGAGGTCTCACAACCTAACAAGTAGCGGGTCTTGCAACCGGGTCTTTCGAACCAGGTCTTCAGACTCCCAGCCCACTGTTCTTTCGAATACCTCTTGTTTTGGGAGGCATTCGCACATTTATCTAACACAACAAGGTACCTGGCACTCAGAATTTCTAACTTAGAGCCTCTTTCTCCCCAAGAGCAAGAGGCAGAAGTCACATGGCTTCTATGACCTAGACTCAGAAGCGACATACCCTCTCTTCTGTCATAATCTGTTCGTCATGCAGACCAACCCTGACAGAACGCAGAAGGGACCACTCCAGGCTGTGAGTCCTGGGAGGTGAGGATCGCTGAAGACTTTCTTGGAAGCTGGCACCACACGCATCTTAACATTTTTATGAAAATAGTTTTGACTTTACAAGTCTCCTGAAAGGGTCCGAGGACTGCAAGGTGTCCACAGACCACACTTTGAGATCCATGGACCTTGATACTTCCAGCTCTCGCTGAGATTTTAGCTACATGATTTATGCTACTGCTCGGAAGATGAGTCTCAGATCCACCTCTCTTTTGCAGATTCATATCAGTTTGTCAGATCTCGCTTGAAAACAAGTTTTCCAGAGAGATTCAATCTAGGTAGCATTTTGCTTCTGCTGATGGCTGAGTGAAGGGAAGAGTCGTTTATCTTCCAGGACAGACATCATAAACTAAAGCGTCACACAGTCATTCATATTCTCATCACGGCCTTTTGCATCTATGGTTTCATCTTAAATATTTTTGAATATTCTCAATCTGAACCACCTTCTTGGCTAATCCATGCAATAAATTACCTGCATCAAGTAGCAACTTAACAGGAAGGCCTTTAGCCTTGTCTGGAGTCAGAGACCTGGTGGGGGCTGCTGCCAGGCTGCCTGTGCTGCATTCAGAAGGTGAACGTGCAGCCAGACAAGACCAGCAACCCAAGGATAAGACAAATACCAACAGAAACTTTGTCTCTGGATTGGTTCCTGCCCGAGGCTAGCTCCAACTCCCTCCTTCCCAGTGATGTCACTCAAGAACTGTAGGTGGTGTTAGGTTTCTACCACTCTTCATTGAAAAGAACCCGCACACAATGGACTCTTCGGCCTCAAATTACATTGTGGGAGATCTGAGACCTGAAGGAGCATGTGTGGAGAGACAATAACAGAGGGCTGAGAACTCAGCGAAGATAGAAAGAGGACTGAGAAGGGGCCGATCAGAGAAAAGGCAGGCGAACCAAGGGACATTTCCTAGAAGCGGGTAATGAGCTAGTTTTGTGGTGGGGAGACAGATACTCCCGTGGTCTTGGCCATACAATAAATCGGCATTTCTGGGGAAGGCAATTTGGCAGGATCTCCAGATTTGAAATGTTCCTGCTCTTTGAGCCAATAACTGTACTCAATGCAGCATTGTTTGTTGTGGTAGAAAGCTGGCGAGACCTTCAAACATTTGCATCATCAATAGGGGGTTGGTGGATTATGGAAACCTATCCCAGTTCCATTGTTAAGGGGATAAAGACTATGCAAAGCGTTTGTTTATAGATTTGGGTATTTCCTATGTGCAGAGGAGAAAGCTTGAAGGACCATACATCGGACAGTTGGCACTGGTGACCTCTGCGGGGGCAACTGTAATTATGGAGAACTTTCACTTTCTAGGTTTAATTTGATTTAGAAAAACCAAGTGTGGTGTCATTTCTTGTGCCCTTGTCTTGTGGAGCAAATCAAGACCCATTTTACATATTTCATAATGTTTTACCTTTTCTTTTAAAGATTTATGCATTATTTTTGTAATCAGAATAAAAATGTATAGAAAGAATGGTGAAATGGTCAACGATACTTCAAAGAAGGTCATGAAGTTACCTTACTGAGAAAAGAATAAGGTAAGAAGAGGTGTCTTCACGGAGTGGGTGGGAGCCAGATGGCAAGTGATTAAGAATGAAAAAGGAGCCCTAGCCGGTATGCCATCCTGTGCACCAAAAGGTCATCAGTTCAATTCCCAGTCAGGGCACGTGTCGGGGTTATGGGTTCAGTCCCTGGGTGGGGAGTGTGTAGGAGGCAGCCAATTGATGTTTGGCTCTCATCTCAATGTTTCTCTCTCTCTCCCTCCCCCCACCCAAATAAAAAAAGAAAAAGAATGAAAAAGAAGAAGAAAAATTGAAGCAGTGAATGTAAGTCTCCTTTGGGAAGGTTGGCAAAAGGAGGAAGCAATGAGAGGTAAGAACAACTGGAAACCACGTGATTCTGAATAAAGTTTATTAAATGATATGTACAGCAAATGTAGTAATTCACACCTTTATTTATCAACCCACTGCAATAAAGAAAAATAAATGAACAGGAGAACCTGTGTCTGCACAGCACATGCTCTCGGTGTGTAACGTAAATGGCAACACTTTAAATTAATTGGTTATGTATAATGTCAGTTATTTTTCTTTCAGAATATAACCTTTTTTTCTTTTTTGTAGTAATCTAGTCCAGCAATAGGACTTAATACTACTTCAGATAAATAGAACTGCCAAAAAAAAAGAAACCAAACAGAAAACAAAAACAACCTCAAAACCAAAAAAACTGTAACTGAGATTATAGTTACTACCTTCTCTCCCAGAAATAATGATTATTTATCTAAAGTTTTAACTTTACTATGGCTGTATTTGTGCTAAAATCTGCCGGTGAGTTATTTGGAATTCCTTCATTTAAATAAAAATGCAAAAAACTTAATGACTTCCTTATTTTACCTCCCTTCAACTGAAATTTTTAAAATTATTTTTCTATACAAAGTAGGTACATGGGCTATACAAAGTTAAATATACATATTTACAGTCCCACCTAAGCATATGGTTTTTTTCTTTTACTGATCCCAGAGAGACTGCAAAAGAGAAGTGGTTCGGGGCTTGCCTTTACCCAGAAGCGTGGCTAATATATCAAAACTGTCTGCAAGGCATGCCGCCAGTTAGCTGCACTTGCTATTAATAAACCTGTATAAACATCTCAGCATAAAAATAGGTATTTTATAATACTAAATGTCTGAAGACAAAAGAGCATTGGAAACCTTTGTTCCTTGTCTTGTCATACATAGGAAGCTGAAGTTTGATGCAAATTTGAACACATGATTTTATTAAAGACGGGCAAATTGGTGAGGCATATCTGGGTTTCTGTTGATACACAAATGCGCGAGGTTGGCATCATATGCAAATGTGGCTTTACAAATTGGTTTTATTTTCTAGCTGTATTTAAAGAGGTGTTCACAATTACCTACAGAATCAAGAAGCACCCCTCAAAAAACTATTAGGTAAGATCATGATATTAATGGTTTGCATCTAAGAAAGATGAGGAAACACATTAGCCAATACAAGAATTACATTTCCAAACTAGTGAAATGCTGCTGGGCAAATGCACGTGCACACACACTGGTACTCATTCCCTCAGAGTCAAATCACAGTGCCCTGGGCGGTGGAGGGGACCTTCCAAAGCTACAAGTCTTATTTAAGGAATTTCTGCCCAGGAGGCTCCTCCGCCCACCCCACCCCGCCCCACCCCACCATTAGTTCTACAATCTTTCCCCTTGGGATTAAGGCTCTGCTCTGCCCTAAAAACAAATGTCTCTGGGAAGAGGTCCTGTATCAGTCATTTACACTTTAGTGTGAAGAAGTCAGCCAGCAAGATTGGAAAAGAGGACAGGGAGAGAAGTGAGGGCACTGTAGCTGTCTGATAGGGGATGGGCAGCCGGTGGGATCCTAAGATGAGTAGTGGAGACAGAGGTGGAGGCAGAGACACTGAAGACAAACTTTTTGCTTACTTATAAAGACTCGGACCTTCGGACAATGGTACTGGGCACTTCTGAGCTACAGGCAGAGAGCCAGGGCTCCTGTACACACTCTGGCACTCGGAATTGCTACTCCTACTTGTGGCCGGATGTGTATTTGTGGAGAGGGTGAGAGTCTGAAGACTTGGAAACAGCGCCAAGTATTTTCAGTCATAAAGTACCCTCAGGCAAAGGTTCTCCCAGCATCCTAGTTGTTCAACAGTCAGCTAATAGAGACAGAAATACAATACTTTCTAGGATCCCTCCAGGGAAATTCATCTCTTCCTCTCTCACACCCTTCTTAGCACATTTCACCGTCTCTCCTGAGTGTGTGTGTGTGTGTCTCCAATCACCTCTGAGTCCCCGCAGGCAGGGAACGGGCCATTCCTATCTTTCATTCTCCAAGGGGTCTAACAGAGAGGGCTGACAAACATCCTGCACTCGGACAGAGTTGTGACTGAACACCCAGGCATCGCAGGGGCCTCCCCGCTGAGCTCCGGCCTCCTGGGAGCAGCAGAATCACTTCCTCACACCTGGCCCTGCATCCGCACCTCTGCTCTGAAGCGAAGCCTGGCCAGGGTGCACCAAGACCCACAGCCCCGGGGACTACATTCTGAGTGGCCCTTGAGCTCCTATGGGGATGCGGTAAGTCTGCTGGCTGGTGCCCAGCATCCAGTGTCTATCAGAGTGTGTTAAATGAATCACTGAACATCACCATCCTTTTCTCCCTGAGAACAGGCCTATCAATCCCAAACTGTCCTGGCCAAGAACAATCCAGAAGAGAAAGATTAGCAACGGCGTCTGATCAATGAAACTGTGCCCTGAAAGGGAACATTTGTGGAAGCCAATGATCCGGGAAAGGAGCACACGGCATATGACCTCAGGAGCCACAGGGCTTCCTGACCTAAGTCACTGGGACACACACATTTCACTGTCTGCCTGGCCACCTGCTCCCACGGGCAAACCTCCGTGCTTTTCTGTCTGACCCCAGGGGGCAGTGGCAATGCCGCAGGCTGGGTGTGCACGCTCAGGCGCCGAAGGTTCGCCTCCATTTCCCCACTAACCTCAGCAGGTCCAGCGAGGGGCCTCCACCACCGTCTAGGGATGACCTCAGCCCAGACTGATCTCCAGCGGCGCTGATGGTGCTGGGGGGTCTGCGGGCTCGGGTGGCTGGGGTGGGGCGGGGTCTGTGTGGAGCCTTTGGAGAATGGCTGGGGACCTGCCAGGGCTCTGAGGGCCGCTCCAGGCAGGTCAGGGAGGCAGCAGCAGGAGGCGTTTCTGTGGCCACAGGTCAGATTACCTCAGACGGGGAGCGGAGGGGAGGGCTGGAGAGGCTCCCAGAAGCAGCTAAATAAATACAGATTTGCCTCATTCCTTTCTGCTCAGCGCATGGTTCGGGCCTGTCTGATGCACGGTGAGCTGAGACAGGCCCGGGTTTTACACACAACACACTTCTCTGTCCCACTCTTTTGCTTCGTTCTTTATCCACTGTATTACTTTTCCTACTGACTCCACTTTCAAATAAAGAGACCAGTTCATGGGTTATGCTTCATCCTCCGGCAAAAATCATCTCTGCGGTTTTCAGTCTTCTTACAGATACAAAGGCTTTACATAGTTGCCTGGAAAAGTGCCAAACTGCCTGGTCCTTCTTGAAGTACCTGTGAAAACACACACGGACAATGAGGAGACCCGCCCGCAGGAGTGCAGAGGGCCCTGGATCGCCACCGGGCAGCCCGCAGTGCAGTGTGCGGCCTCCACAGCCCCTTCCCTTCCCTTCCCTTCCCTTCCCTTCCCTTCCCT